AGTATGACTCTATTTCAGTGAAAGGATTGATGTTTGCATCAATTTTGACTATCTCTCCATCTTTTCTATACTTCAGACATTGATGCAAAGTAGATGATACCACCTCATTCTCATGAATCCAAGGACGTCCAAGCAAAAAGTTGTATGATGTTTTAGCATCTATGACGTGAATCAAGGTGTTTGACTTCATCTCACCAATGGATAGTCACATATGAGTCACACCTATGGCTCGTTGTCCTCCTTGGTTGAAACCTTGGATTGTTAGGTTACTTTTGGATAGCTCATCGATAGAGATACCAAGCTTTTTTAGCACCATATTTGGCATGATGTTGACAACCGAACCATCATCAACAAGTATGCAATTGAGATGTTGTTCCCAAATGGCCCCTACAATGAACAAAGGTTTGTTATGTGGCTTAGACCCTATCAGCAAGTGATCATCTGTGAAGGAAATTGTTGCACAACATGTGGCAACTTTTCCGTTATCATGATGTTCTTGTGTTTTCATTAGAGCAAGCTCATCGTTTCTTTCCTTTGTTTCATCAGTACTAGAAACTACATGAGTTGCACCAACGTGACCTCCATGAAGGAATTTTCCAGAAAAGAATTCATGCAATGTGATGGGCTTTCAGAACTTCGGCGATAAGGCACCGTTAATATTCTTGCTAATAGAAGATTTGATAATTCTTGGTGGTTGTAGCTTATCCACATCGCTTATTTTTGCTCTTGGCTTAGGAAGTCGTAGCCTCAAAACTGCTTGATGTTTTCGTTTCTTGTGAGTGACTAGAGTCCAACTCTCATCATCTTTGTCTTTGGACTGAGTGTCCAGCTCTAGTGAACCTTCAAGAGTTTTCCTTGGAAGATCAACTTCAACGGGCTCGAAACTTCCAAATAGTAAGAAGGTAATGCTTGACACGTTCTGCAACTATGAACACTTCTTTTCCTTGAGCGCGATACTTGCATGATTTGCTTCTGCTGTTTCATCCATGTCTATGATGATTTTTCCTTCACTTACAAGAGCCATGATTTTCTATTTCAAGACAAAGTATTTCCCTGTAGGGTGGCTAATGATGCGATGAAACTTGCAGTATTTCGGATCGCCAACTTTACCAATTTCCTCAAGCCTTTTTGATTCAGGGAGATCGATGACTTTCTTGGCCAGCAATTCATCAAGGATTGTGGGTGCGTCTGAATCTGTAAATGGATAAACCTTCGCCTCTAATTCCTTCAAGGTGGGACAACGTTTCTCCTCTTTAGGATATTGATTTGGGGTCTTATCCTCCTTCACATTTTTCTTGGTCGTGACTTTCACGGAAGTTGCTTTTACCGCCATAGATTCTTTGGTTTGGTGCTTTGATGCAACATTTTTCTTGAACTCCTTCTGATCAGCAAATGGAGATGCCATTCCATGACTTGCGATGCTTAACTCCACGTCGTGCACCCGCGTTGCAAGTTCTTCGAAAGTTCGCGATTTGATCCCTTGTAGGATGTACAAAAGGCCCCAGTGCATTCCTTGAATGCACATCTCCACAGCATATATTTCTGAAAGGTGATCCTTGCAGTCCAAACTTAACGCTCTCCAACGATTGATGTAATCCACCACAAGCTCCTCTTTCCTTTGCTTGTTGCCCGTCAACTCTATCATGCTTACAGTTCTTCGAGTACTGTAAAAACGATTGAGGAATTCCTTCTCAAGTTTCTCCCAACTATCAATGGACTCGGGCTCCAAGTCAATATACCAGTCAAATGCATTCCCTTTCAGCGAACGAACAAACTATTTTACCAAAAGGTCACCATGCGTTCCAGCATTTCTACAAGTCTCGACAAAGTGGGCAATATGTTGCCTTGGGTTTCTTTTGCCATCAAATTGATGCAGTTTTGGTGGTTAATAATTGGTTGGCATAATTAGACAATCAATCCTCTTAGTATAAGGCTTAGAGTAGTACAACAAACTTTGTGATAGTCCACCATATTGAGCTCTGATGGTGTGTGTTATCATGTCTTGTAATTGTTGGACAGATAACACTGCAACCGAAGTGGATTGCTTTTCCTTCTGAATGCTGAACTTGGAAAGCGATTCCTCAATAGCCTTTTTTTGTTTTTGTTTGTGAATGAGGAGGCACGTGGCTTGACTCTCCAGGTGCATAGGCCTCCAATTTGTTCATGAGTTGAGCGATTTGAAGGTCTTTGTCTTCAACAAATTTCTTCAAGACTTCTATAGCCTGTTCCATCATAGCAAACTTTTCATCCATGTTAGCTGCGTCATTCATTAAGGCGTTGAATTTTGTTAAAACTAGAGAATCCTCAAATTCACCAAGGTTGGAGGTTGTTTGAGAAAGTTCGTCAAATAGCAAGAATGGGGTGTTACCCCCAAAGATTGTGGTTGCAGACGTCATGTAAGATCTGCTCTTCTTTGCCATCTCCAAGGAGGTGAAGTATTCAGATCCATCTAAGACACTAGCCTTGAACTTGCTTCGAGTGATTGGGACAACATGACTGAGCTCAGCGAATGCGGCAGCAGTAGCATCTTTGCATGAGACATCACACTTGCGGAAGGCCTTTGTAGCAGTAGATCTGAAGTTTGTAGTTTTCAACTTGCAAGAAGTATAGATGAAGAGCAGAATTGGTCCCACTGGGCTTGCTAAAATTTATTCACAATAAATTTTCGTAGTACGAAAAATAAACTGCAACAAAAATAATATGAAGAAAAAAATAGATTTTATTGATAAATATTTGTGAGTACAATTCTATGTATCCCTTGATTCTCCTCTCTAAAATTCTCCGTGATTTGAGGGCTTGAGAAGCATCTTTCTCGAATGTGGGACGATGCAGACCTCCTTGTGATGTATTTAATCACCAAGAACGTCGAGCAACACTTTATTGTTACGGGTTGATCTCCGGGAAGAACTCTATTGATCACTCCTTTGTTGAAGAACTATGCACTTGATGATTGATCTCTCTATTTGTGGATGCCTTCACTAATTGCGGAATGCTCTTCTCCGATTCCAAATGTCTCTAGAGAGTTATGTAACTCCTTTATTTATAATGGTAGAGGATGGACAATCCAGCTACATATGAACTCTTTTGCTTGATTCTGATCGGCTCATGTGAGTCATCGAACTTATCACATAACTTATGTGATAAGCTTGCTTGTGATTGGACAAGACATGTCATTTTAGATACTTGGAAACTCTTGATTGGTTATTGTTTTAGACTGGGATTGCCACATCATTCCACATGTAGTGTCATCTTATTGGCTTTGAGTTTGACTGAACATGCCACGTCACTTGACACGTGGCATGAGTCTGGGCCTCAAGATAAAATAGACATCGGGCCTGAGAATAATAAAATGGACTCATTCAATTTGTAAAGTCCAAATTAACTATTTGCCCCAATTAAATTTAATTCATGCACGTAATTGGACTTTGGAATATCCAGTTAAATTTTAATGCTTACAGAGAGTAGCAAACTAAGAAATTAAAGGAAATAAATCAGCAATCTTAGAGATGAATTCAATGGGAGCAAACTAATTAAATTATCTAGTTTATTGATTGACATGGTTAATATTACTCGTAGTATTCTCCCAAAGTACTACTCGCCTATTCAAGCTAATATAACGCCTATATTCCTATGGAATTAGGATTAACAAGAACGTATTAATAATTCTCGTATAATAACCAAGCAAGGCTATTAGGTATATCCCTATCCTAACCGCAAATCCGTTCCCCGTGATTCAGGTTCAACATCTTGCTCTAATCAATCCTATTTACAATCTAAAATTCCCTCTCCCGAGTTCAATCCTAGATTCGTAGATAGTATTTAATTGGTGATCAATCAATCAAATAATTAAGCGCAAGATTGAATAAATAAACCAATACGATAAAATAATAAGAACAATCCAAGCTTCAAACTACAACGTTCATGTAGCACTCACAACTCTAGAATTAATAAACTATGAAATTAAAGGAAGAGAAGAGAAGAAAAACTAGTTAGAAGCCTCCTCCAAGCGTGGGTTGTATTTCCGTACGTGAATTCTCCTTCAAAGTATGTTAGATCCCCCTTTTATACGAGTTGGGACCGTGTAGGGCCGAAATAACCTTGTCCTGAGCGAAATAGAAAAAAACCCGCTACGTAGGGTCCAGGCACGCGCGTCGCACTGCCCTGGCGCTGAATCCAATACGTTTTTCATCTTAATTCCTTCTATTTTTTACTTTGAATTGTATTTCTTTGTCTTCCACTTGGGTGTGTGTGGGGGGGAGGGGGGGGCACTCCTTATTTTTTATTCTTTTAATTTTCTTTCCTTTTCTTCCGCGTTTTATTCAATTTTGCTCCAAATCTCTTCATCTTCACCCCACTTTATTCCTACACAGTTAAAATATAATATTAAACATAAAGTAATATAACTAATATTCAAAAGATGATTAAAAGTAATAGAATATGAGGTAACAATGGTTAAATATATGCATTTTTTACCTAACATCACGTGACAAACTGATCACTTTTAACAGATAGCAGACTTGGAAGGTTCACATTTATTCACTACTATTATAGAAAAGCTAACAATACTGCTGATCAAAGTCCATTACTTTCTGACAGTCTGGGAGAGTGAGAGCTACTTTGAAAACCAAAATGGGTCAGTTTTCTTCTCTAAGAATCAGACCAAGGAGGAATTGTTTTGACGTGTAGCATTTTTTTTTCTTGGTACATATATTTTCTGTAAAAGAACATCCTCCCTCTAGGAACTAAGCCTTCTTCTTGTATGTACTATTGGTTCCACTGCTTCTGCAAAAGGATGATCTCCTACATTCGTAATGTAACTCAAGATATGTATTAATACAAAATACGGATAGAGGTCAAAGTCTAACCTCCCGGCCACTATAGTGGTCTTTTGATTTAAAAAGAAAATCCGATTTAAATTCCATATCATTTGGAAACACTGACTGCCTTGAATACAAAATACCAGTGAAAGAGAAAAGACAGTGTCCCCCAAGACTACACCCTTCAAAACCATTTCCATTATAAAACTAAGTTGGACAAAAGATATTCAAAGATGGATTTTCACAAAGGCTCATCCTTTTTATTAGAACAAAATTTGCAGCAGATCAATTACAACAATGAAATTTGCAACTAGCAACTGAAGGCAACAGATGAGCAATTCGCATGGTCCAACTACAAGGAAAGAACAAGATGAATGGTACATAGTGGAAAGGGGAAAACGCAATTTCTGCAGCTCTATACACAAATGAAAAGCACCTTCATTGATGAGAATCTCCTCGTATCATTTGCCAAAGGTGAGGGAATAATTTTATGAAGCATCCTCGTGCTCAAGGTGTTATGAATATGTCTGATAGTTTCTTCCAGAATATAGCTCACTCCAATTCCTTGAGAAAATCTATATTGTCGACGAAAACCTGCCATGTTTTCCACAGATGTTATAAAAGATGAACAGGAAATTCAACAAAGGTTGGAAGTTATGAAAGCGCACTTGAAGATGCTATAGCATACCGCTTTCCAACCATCAGGATCTTGGCATGCTACTATCTTGGTGCTGATACCAGGTAGCGGTCCTGGTTCCCTGGTAATCTTTCCACCCCCGAGTCTTATCGCTTCTGCTGTCTTGTACACATCATCTGTGCCTATAGCTATCTGTTGGGAGATGCATCAATGAGTGATCTTATATAGGCGCCTGGGAGGCTACAACTAATGCATGAACTACTACTACCTGTGCATATGCATTTCCCTTGTCATATTCGCTTACACCATAATTATATGTCAACTCCATCACAGCACTTTTGTCTTCTGGACCATATCCCAACATTGCTATTGTATACTGCAAATATGTAACAGGTATGATACAACAACAACATCCCAGTGTATTCCCACAAGTGGGGTATGGGGAGGATGTACGCAGTTTTACCCTACCCTGGAAGGGCAGAAAGGCTGTTTCCGGAAGACCCTCGGCTAAAGAAAGGATGTAAGAAGCACTGATAGCAAGTAATAACAATACAGAATATTAGAAAACCAAATCCAAGATAGCAAAGGAGAAGATGAAAGAAGTACTTATCACAAGTAATAACAGTGTAAGATATATAGTGATATCAAACTAAAGGAATATTGATGGCAAGTAATAACAATACAAGATATATGGAAATAGCAAAGTAAGGGTAAAAGTATACCATACTAACACTAATACTATTGAACTAAGGAAGACAAAGGGAAACGCCCAACCACATACTAACCTTCTACCCTAATTCTCAACCTCCACACACTCTTATCAAGGGTCATGTCCTCAGTAAGCTCAAGTTGTGCCATGTCCCGCCTGATCATCTCTCCCCAAGACTTCTTCGGCCTACCTCTACCCTTTCTCTTACCCTTCAAGGCCAACCTCTCACACCTCCTGACCGGGACATCTGTGTTTCTCCCCTTAACATGCCCGAACCATCTCAGCCTCGTTTCTCGCATCTTTTCCTCCACAGGGGCCACTCCTACCTTGTCCCAAATAACTTCATTCCTAATTCCATCCAACCTCGTGTGCCCACACATCCATCTCAACATCCTCATCTCTGCTACTTTCATCTGCTGGACATGTGAGTTCTTAACTGGCCAGCACTTTGCCCCATACAACATAGTTGGTCTAACCACTACCTTGTAGAACTTCCCTTTAAGTCTCAACGGCACATTCTTATCGCACAAGACACCGGAAGCGAGCCTCCACTTCATCCACCCTGCTCCGATACGATGTGTGACATCCTCATCAATCTCCCCATCACTCTGAATCACAGACTCAAGGTACTTAAAACTTTCTCTCCTGAGAATGACTTGCATATCAAGCCTCACATCCCCGTCCGCTTCCTTGGCAACACCGCTGAACTTGCACTCCAAGTATTCGGTCTTGGTCCTGCTCAACTTGAATCCTTTAGAATCAAAGCTAATAATTTAAGACACCTAGCATTCACTATAAACAGAACGCAGCACGAGTTATAATTTGTTTCAACCGTAAACTATTTTATGTTGCAAAACAACATCAAGGGCAACAAATATTGCTCATGTCACTACGACTTGCTCTAAAATCACAATCAGTCAGATATAAAATGCACAGAAGCCAGATTCAGTTCTGACCAAATGCAACAGTTGGTTCCTCCGGACCAAATAACTTTACATGATTGAGGGTCAAACACTGACCAACCATCAGTCTCATCTTGGATATTGATTATCCAAGGGAAACTATTCTGCTTTAGCTTCCAATTTATTTGTCCTAGTACCATTGGAGCCTCACAATACAGAATATGTTATCTAGCATTCAGAGATGTAATATCCTTGCAATTGCTGCGTTCTTTCATATTTCAGGAACAATTAGAAAACGAGGAGCAAAAAGAAAATTGAATTTAAAAATGCCAAATACATATTTTAAGAATATAACGGTCATTAAAAATTAGTTTTTGACACTTCAAATAGTAAACGTGTCACGTTTTGGAATGCAGGTAATATTGTACATATGACAACATGATTCTCTTTTATTTTAATAATAATAACAATAATAATATTCTTGAGCCGAGGGTCTTCCGGAAACAGCCTCTCTACCCCTCCGGGGTAGGGGTAAGGTTTGCGTACACTCTACTCTCCCCAGACCCCACTGGGATTCTACTGGGTTGTTGTTGTTGTAATAATAAAAATAATAATTGCAGTGTTAAGATAATTTCTCAAGATCTATTTGTACAACATAAATACACAGTACAACATCACAAGTACTAATTGAGAGTTAAATCATTGTCCATAGCTGTACTGTAGACATTTCCACATGGAAAGACAAGTTGACTGAGCATGAATATTAAAAAATTATTTTTTCACAAGTAAGATTAAACATTTAATTGAGGATGAGTTCTTGTGCTTGAAGAACAGAACATTCAACAGTCAAAACCGCAAGCATCATATAGCAATCATATTGAAGCACTAAGTGAACTTAAAATCTTCCTTTTCGAGCACCGCATGCGCAATGGGGGNATCTCCATTGTGGTGGCACTTAGCCATCATGTTATGATACCATACGAATCCCATTGGCTTACCTTCTTACTGATGCTCCATGCAATAGGTACCTTAAGCTGCCAACACTAGATTAATTTTCCATGATGAATTCTGTTGTGGATGCGTTTGTGGGCAACACTTATGCCCGAATAGGATTTATGTTTCCTAGTTTCTTAATGATTAGGCTATTTTTATTATTCCACAATAGGAAATGGATTAGGTTTCCTACTGCTGTAATAAGACTCCCTATTTAAAGGGAGATTGGAGCAATAAAATGCTAAGTCATATTTCAATCAAAAACAAGAGATCGGAGTTCTCTTCCATTGAACCCTAAGGTTTCAGCCTCCCATTAACGAGCTGAATTATTATTCAAAATAGGTCGATCTAAGAATTCGAAAAAAGGCAGAAAGTCGAAGTCAATAGCTTCAGATTTTTCTGTTCACCGTCCTGTGACCCGATCGTTCTCTAGAAATCCTAATAATTTGGTATCAGAGCCTAGCACAATGGATGATGAGATTAATTCCAGATTCAGGAAGAACGCTCAATTACAAAATCCCTAATGGACTTGAAACTTGCAGCGAGGGAACGTCTAGGCGACAGAATTGCCCAAGCCAGGAACAATTCTCTGTGTTGGAAATCGGCGCAAAGCTAGCAACCGACGGAAGTGAGTCGAGCAGTGTCGTTGCTTCGATGATAGGCAGATCAACATAGGAGGTAATACACAACCTATTCCACCAGCCGACCAGAATCACCCCGTAACTGGTAATTCCCATTCAAAAGTACAGAGGTCTTCTTGTACTTCATACAAGAAGACTTTACAAGGAAGCACCAAAAGTTATGGAGCTGCACGGGGAGTCAACCATCTCCATTGTGGTGGCACTTAGCCATCATGTTATGATACCATACGAATCCCATTGGCTTACCTTCTTACTGATGCTCCATGCAATAGGTACCTTAAGCTGCCAACACTAGATTAATTTTCCATGATGAATTCTGTTGTGGATGCGTTTGTGGGCAACACTTATGCCCGAATAGGATTTATGTTTCCTAGTTTCTTAATGATTAGGCTATTTTTATTATTCCACAATAGGAAATGGATTAGGTTTCCTACTGCTGTAATAAGACTCCCTATTTAAAGGGAGATTGGAGCAATAAAATGCTAAGTCATATTTCAATCAAAAATAAGAGATCGGAGTTCTCTTCCATTGAACCCTAAGGTTTCAGCCTCCCATTAACGAGCTGAATTATTATTCAAAATAGGTCGATCTAAGAATTCGAAAAAAGGCAGAAAGTCGAAATCAATAGCTTCAGATTTTTCTGTTCACCGTCCTGTGACCCGATCGTTCTCTAGAAATCCTAATAATTTGGTATCAGAGCCTAGCACAATGGATGATGAGATTAATTCCAGATTCAGGAAGAACGCTCAATTACAAAATCCCTAATGGACTTGAAACTTGCAGCGAGGGAACGTCTAGGCGACAGAATTGCCCAAGCCAGGAACAATTCTCTGTGTTGGAAATCGGCGCAAAGCTAGCAACCGACGGAAGTGAGTCGAGCAGTGCCGTTGCTTCGATGATAGGCAGATCAACAGAGGAGGTAATACACAACCTATTCCACCAGCCGACCAGAATCACCCCGTAACTGGTAATTCCCATTCAACAGTACAGAGGTATGCAAAGATGGATTTTCCCACTGGCCTCAACCTCGGTCAGTAACCTCACTTCGTGGATTTCTTTGACTAGTCTACTCAAGAAAAACTCTTTCCAGTGGAGTGAATTGACCCTAGCTGCATTTCAGAAGCTCAAGCAAGCACTATCCACCGCTCCAATATTGAGGCGGCCTGATTTTGATATGGATTTCATTGTGGAATGATGCTTCAGGAGGCGGTATAGAGGTTGTTTTGCAACAGGGGGTCAACCAATTGCATATTTAGCGGATAGCTTGCGGCACGTCACCAACAAAGGCAGTGCAAGATTAGCGATCATACCTATGGGGGCGCCCTTTTCTTATCCGGACGAATCATTATAGCCTGAAATACTTGCTAGAACGACATACTACACCACCTCAACAACATTGGTTAAGCAACTTCATGGATTACAACTTCACAGTGGAGTATCGAGCTGGTTATCTCAATAGAGCTGCGGATGCTTTATCTAGAAGGACATCCGAGGACCCTTCTTTATTTGCTTAGCCAGCATATTACTGGAGCCTATACATGAGGAGCTTATGGGATCAACAGAACTGCTAGATTTGTGTGATAGAAGTCAAGCTAGGGGAATTAAGCTCAGATTGGCAAATTCAGGATGGGTTGCTTTTGTTTAAAGGCCACATCTACCTTCTACAAAATTCTGCCTTGCTTCCGACTGTATTATCCGCCTTTCATGATAGTGCGCATGACGGAATAAAGAAAACCTTGCACCGAATTCTTAGGGAATTTTATTGGAAGGGTATGAAAACTGACATTGCTGCATATGTTGCTGCATGCTTGCCTGGTGTGTCAGCGCAATAAATCAGAACATTTAAGTCCTACAGGATTGTTACAACCTCTCCAACTACCAACTCAAATCTGGTCATATATATCAATGGATTTTATTGATGGCTTACCTAGGTTTTGGGGGAAGCCGGTCTTGTATGTAGTGGTGGATCGGTTTTCAAAATATGCTCATTTCGTACCATTGGCTCATCCATACATAGCTTCTCGTGTGGCTCGGGTATTCTCTGAGCAGAATGTTCATTTACACGGGATACCAGAAACTATCACTTGTGATCAAGATGTGGTTTTTACTAGCACTTTTAGAAAGGAACGTTTTCACTTGAATGGTGCTAAATTGCAATTTTCATCTGCTTATCATCCACAGATGGAAGGCCAGACAGAGGTAGTTAACCATACTGTGAAAATGTACCTTAGATGCTTTATTGCTAATTATCCCGAAAGTGGGTTGCTTGGGTCCCATGGGCAGAATTTTGTTATAACACGTCTTTTCATTCGGCACTACAAACCACACCTTTCAAGTTTCAAGGTTGTTTATGGGCGTGATCCGCAATGTTTGCTTTCATATGTACCAGGGGCAAGTCACGTAGAAGTTGTTGAGAGTGCGTTGCTGGATCGTGATAAAGTTGGGTGATATCGGGAATCGACTACGGGCAGCCCAACAACGGATGAAGGAATATTATGATAGGGGCAACCGTGATGTGGAATTTGCTCCAAGGGCACTTGTGTGGCTTTGTTAACATCCCTACAGGCAGCATTCAATTCGGCTGAATGTTTAGAATAAATTGACTCCCAGATTTTATGGCCCATTTTCGGTCTTATGGCGAATCAGGCAGGTCGCATATGAGCTGGATTTTCCAAGTGAGAGCCGCAGCCCGCATTCATAACATTTTTCATGTTTCTCTTCTGAAGGTATTCAAAGGTGAACAACTTCCACCTCTTACAGAGTTACCACCCATGGAAGATGGCCAGGTAGTTCCTCTACCCGCTGCAGTCATTCGAGGTCGTGCCAACCATGGTAAAAAGGAGGTTCTTATTCAATGGGCTGGTGCGCAAGATGTTGAAGCTACGTGGGAGGAGGTGGACTCTTTTCAGCAGGCCTATCCATCTTTCGAGCTTGAGAACAAGCTCTTTCAGCGGGAGGGGGTAACGTTGTGGATGCGTTTGTGGGCAACACTTATGCCCGAAGGAGAGCCAATCAAATTAAGTGTTTGATTTTTATTTCATTCATAGCTTTCACTTTTGTTATTCCTAGTTTCTTAAGGATTAGGTTTCCTACTGCTGTAATAAGACTCCCTATTTAAAGGGAGATTGGAGCAACAAAACCCTAAGTCATATTTCGATCAAAAACAAGAGATCGGAGTTCTCTCTTCCATTGAACTCTAAGATTTCAGCCTCCCTTTAACGAGCTGAATTATTATTCAGAATAGGTCAATCTAAGAATTCGAACAAAGGCAGAAAGTCGAAGTCAACAGCTTCAGATTTTCCTGTTCATCGTCCTGTAACCCGATCCTTCTCTAGAAATCCTAACAAATTCATCAAGTTGCCTACGGTTTACCCAAAAAAAAAATTTAAAGATTACCTTGTATTCAGGATTGTCTCGTGTGCGAAGAAGCTCCATACCATAAGCCTGGAGGATGAAAATCTATATTTTCAGAAATTTCTTGATATCAACCGATACTTGTTCTTCAGATTGTAGGAGCACGTGAGCAGGAATACAACTATAAGAGTGCTCATGAAATCATAGTAAATCTTACCTTCTGATAAAAATTTATGGCACGGTCAAGATCTCCAACTCGAAGCATCACTTGGCATAGGGGCTCAGGTGTTGGACCCCTCTCCAAAAGTTCAAACTTGTAACCATCTGGATCTTCAATAAAAGCAATAACTGTATTCCCTCCTTTAACAGGACCTGGTTCCCTGGTTACTTTGCCTCCTTTAGCCTTTATGAGTTCCACTGACTTCGCAACCTAATGCACACACCGTATGAGCTGGTAAGTCCTCAAACATTATGCAAGTGCGAAGTATAGAAGATGCGGAAGATGACTACTCAACAACAGAATTTTGCCAGTACTAGGGCCCCGTTGTAGAAGTTAAAACAAAATACAGGTACAATATAAATAAAGAAAGCAGCTAACCTTATACGATATATTATATATTTTGCATAAAATTTTCCTGCTTAGATTACTCATTTATAGAGAAACTTACATCCTCAACAGCGATTCCAAAATGGCCAAAAGCCAATCCAATATCATACTTGTCGATTCCATAATCTGGCAGAGTAATCAAAAAATGGTATTCATGACAAAGTGGACCTTGTAAAAGAGATACTGTAATGGACTTCAAACATCTGATGTTCGTGAACAGAAAGAAAGGGAAAAGACATAGCA